CGGTTCAAACCTATAATTAATGACTGAGAAGACGAACGCGATGTCTTTCTTCTCATCTCCTCTCTGAGTTAGACAGTGACATTCTAAATAGTTTGGTAAACTTTCAAGAAGCCATAATCCATGTATCTCATCATCAAAGTTAATACCCATTGCAGGCAACTCATTAATAATTCCTTGAAACTTGTTAAAGTGATGTTTCATCTTGATATCTCAATGATATCATCTGCTTTATCCCATATAACTTTAGGTTTACACAAAGTAAAGAAGGGGAAGAAAAATCAAAGCAAAGGAGAGTAAAGGGAATCAAAGCAGAGACTAGAGAGTAAAGGGCGAAAAATCAAAACAAGATTTGATAAAGCGACCAATGGCTAGCCGGATAAGATCTTTTATTTAATTAGGACCGGCAGGGTGGAAAGCCTTACTACTTAAGGGGTGAAGGAAAGAAAGTAGATGGCTTGCTAGCTTTCCTCAGAAGATAATCCGCTATCCTCGCTTTCAATAGTCCTTCTTTTAAACTTGTCACAAGACGGGATTCACGTAGATAATGAATAATGCTTTCAAAGGGGCATCCTTACTTTGAGACTAAAGGGAGAGATATGCAGAGAAGGGAGTAAAGTGAGAGTAAAGGGAGGGAGAGATTTGCAGAGAAGGAGGCAGTTGATGGCTGACTGTGATTTTAGGGCTAGAAAACATTATATTTATAGTTGGGTTTTTTTTAAGTGGTGGCTGGTTGAACCGGTTTGGTTCAATCGATTTTAGACTTTAGAAACCGAATCGAACTGGAATTTTTTTGTGATTTTTTAATTGGTTAATTTGGTTTTTTTTTGTTCGGTTTTTTCAATTCAATTTTTTTTTCCGGTTTTCTCGGTTTAATTGGTTTATCGATTTTTTTGCTCATCTTTACTACTATCTCCTTTTCACCGCAACTCCCTTGTAGTCATAAGCTTCTCTACGAGCTCCTCGTATTGATGTACCTGCTAGGGCCGAATCAGAATATTCTTTGGATAACAGCTGGACTGCACGACTTGTGACTTCACTTAAACAGCTGGACGTGGCTCAAATATGATGCGCCTATGGCCTAGTTGATTTTTTTTTTCTTGGGTGCAGCATTTGTGTATGGGTTACAACACAAAATTTTTAGGAGACACGTGTGTCATCAACCTCTTGATTTGATCAAGTTCAGTTTTGCATTGTTGAGTTCGTATTGATGAACTCTACATCGTAGAATGATCAAAAAGTGTTGTTGACAACTTTAAAAATTCAAATGTAACCCGAAAAATCTTTTGTTTTTTTATGAACAAGACTTTGGTACTAAGTGTTAGTGGAAGAGGCCACTGATGGTGGCTTTGAAACACTCAGAGGGGATAAAACATATTGTTTTATTTCATAGGCAAAAAATTAACTTACATACACTCTTAAGCTCTTAAACACTCCATTTCTTTCTTTCTAGTGTTTCTCTCTTATATTTCTTAATTATAATAGAATAAACTTAGTTACCTATTTATACACAAATTAAAAGTATAATCAATCAGAATTCAAGTGTGAACACAAATGGTTAATGGTATTGTGAAGGCGATTGGCGGCTACGGTTGGTGGTTACCTTCCTTAACCTTCTGGATTGAGTTTACTACAACAAATCTTTCCTTTAAACTCAATCGAGATATTTCATGCCAAGCATAAACTTTAATATGATAAATGTCTTTCTCTTTAATGGCTTTGTAAAGATATTTGCAACTTGATCATTTGTTTTGCAAGATATCAATTCAAGTTCTTTGTTCTTCACATGCTCTAAGATAAAGTGATGATGTGTATTGATGTGTTTACTTCTTTTATAATACACTGGATTATTTACTAATATAATTGCTGATCGATTATCAATATAAATCTCTGTATGATTTTCTTGAGGAAATCCCAAATGCTTAAACATATTCTTTAACCATATTAAATACATACAACTAAGTTAACAACAACATACTCAACTTTATAATTTAATAACATTACTATCAATTCCTTCTTGAATGACCATGTGAAAGACGTATCTTCTATAAAAAAAGAAAAATCTTTTTAATGTTTTTTTTTTCATTGAGATTTCTACCTCAATCACTATCTGAGTAGTCAACAAGATTGAAGTTATTACTTGAATTATAGAATAAACCTTCTTGTATCATTACTTTGATGTAGCGAAGTATTCCCTTGGCTGCATTCAAGTGAGACTGATCTGATGTCTCCATATATCTACTAATAAGTCTTATTCCATAAAGTATATCCGGTCTAGTATATGTCTAGTATCTCAAGCTTCATACTAAGCTTTTAAAATAGGTTAGATCAACGTTTTCTACTTTACTTTTTCTTAATCCCACTTCATTTTCAACTAGAGTTGATACCAGATTGCAGCTTTCCATCTTGAATTTTTTAAGAATATTTGTGGCATGAGTACTCTGGGATACGAAAACCTCTTCTTTTTTCTGTGTCACTTCTAAGTAAAGAAAATGTGTCATTAAATCAATGTTTGTCATCTCAAACTCTTGTACCATACTTTTCTTGACATCTTTAAACATGGTAATATTATTGCCAATGAATATCAAGTCATCAACATATAGGCATGCATGCAAATAGTGTACTTCAATCACCTTCTTTTTTCACATACATTGTATGTTTATATGAATATTTTTTAAATATATTTTCTTGAAAATACCTATCAATTCTGGTATTCCAAGCACGCAAAGCTTGTTTCAAATCATAAAGAGCTTTCTTTATCTGGTATATTATGTCTTCATTATCAACTTCAACATATCCAAGTAGTTGTTCAATATAGATCTTTTTATCTAGAAAGCCATTAAAAAATGTTAGCTTCACTTGTATATTTGCATGCTTATATGTTGATGACTCGATATTCACTAGTAATAATCCTATCATGTTTGAACACCTCAAGAAGAACATGGTATAAAAATTTGAGATGACAAACATTGGTCTAATAACATATTTTTTTGGTTTAGAAGTGACACAAAAAGAAGAAGGGATTTTTTGTATCCCAAAGCAGTCATGCCACAGATATTTTTGAAAAATTCAACATGGAAAGCTATAATCTGATATCAACTCTAGTTGAAAATGGAGTGGAGTTGAGGAAGAGTAAAGTACAAAATGTTGATCCAACCTGTTTTAAAAGCTTAATAGGAAGTTTAAGGTACTTGACATGTACTAAACCGGATATACTCTATGAAATAGAACTTATTAACAGATATATGAAGACACTAGATCAGTCTCATTTGAATGTAGCCAAAAAAATACTTTGTTACATTAAAGGAATGATAAATGATGATAAATGAAGGTATGCTCTGTATTTCAAGTAAAAACTTTAATCTTATTAGTTATTCAGATAGTAATTGAGGTGGAGATCTAAATGGAAAAAAAAAAAGTACAACAGGATTTGTCTTTTCAATAGGAGATACATCTTCAATATAATTATTCAAGAAGCAAACAATAGTAGCATTATTAAGTAGTAAAATTGAATATGTTGTTGTCAACTCAGTTATATGCCATGTAATATGGTTAAAGAATATTCTAAAGCATATAGGATTTCCTCAAGAAAATTCTATAAAAAATTATGTTGATAATTGATCGGTGATTGCTTTAGCAAAGAACTCAAGGTGTCATGAAAGAAGTAAATATATTGATACGCATCATCATTTTATCTAAGAGCATGCGAAGAAAAAAAATTAAACTAATATTATGTAAAATAAAAGGACATTTATCATATTGAAGTTCATACTTAGCATGACATCTCTTAATTAAATTTAAAAGAAAGATTTGTTTTAGTAAATTCAATTTAAAAGGTTAATGAAGGCAATCATCAAATGTAGCCATTAACTACCTTCAGATTATTATCAACCATTTGTATTCACACTTGAAATTTAATTTTTTATATTTCTAATTTATGTATAAATAGAGAGTTAAGTTTATATTATTGTAAGTGAAAAATATAAGAGAGAATCACTAAAAAAAAGATGTGTTGAAGAGCATGTATAAGCTTCTTTTTTTATAAAATAAAACAATGTATTTTATCCTTTATCCTATCTTGTGTTTTAAAGCCACCATAAGTTACCTCTCCCACCAATACCTTTTAGCCGTAAGCTTCTCTACAAGCTACCCACAAATATCAAACACCACTATTTCTCAACCCAACTGCAATTTTATCCATTTGCTTGCTGTAAATCGAAAGGAAACGTCCTAATAACACATACAAGAGTGTGTAGGTTGGGAATCTGGCCATTGGAAATACTAGGTGATATCAGAACCTGTATTGACGGGATAGTTGTCCTTAAGTTCAAACAAGGTAAGGTAGGACCTATAGAATAGATTGGTAAATCTAATTTTTCTTTTAGTGCGTCGAAGACTTGGTATTCAAGCCCATAGACAGATTTGATTAGAAGAAAATGTGCGCTTGACACCTATGAAATGCTTTCCAACGTGAGCTGCATATATAACTTTTGCCTCATCTCCACGGAAGATTGTTCGAAGGTCAGCTACATGCTTTGAAGAAATTCCCTAAATGTGGTAAACAATCTATTCTCCATCATCAAAACATAGGTAAGCATGTATATAAAACATATACCAATTGCCATCAGTTATTTCTATTCGTCCAGTCCCAAAGGAATAAAAAATCAAATGGCAGAGTCAGAAAGAATATATGGATGTCATTCATTTCAGCCTAATGAGAGAAAAATCAGTATGAGAAGAGGCAACAAGGAACAATTTATGTTAAAAAACCAGATTAATAATACCTAACAATTTGGCTAGTGTCTGCAAACTGTTGGAGTATTGAAAATACAGTTGCCGACAATGTTCATGGAGTTGCCACTGCGATATTCCTCTTGTTTGCAATGGTAATTGCCCACGGTAGCTCAGCATCAGCTATGCTAGCAGTCACTAGCAGGTCAATTTGATCAGGTTGCTGTTCCTACGGACCTTCCATCTTCGTCATCACAGCCTCGTAGAATCCGCACCTCGAACAAGTTCAGATGGGATAACATGTAGTATCGAAGCAAATTGAATGGTGCTAGTTTTAGTATTAGAGTAAATGAGTCCAAGCCACTCCACAGTAACCAAAAAAAAAAGTAATGAGAATATCCTGTTTCTTGGAAGATAGTAATTAACTTGCAGAGATTCATCATGGGGTTGACGTGGCCTCTACCAGGATAGGGTACAGCCATCACATGACAACTGGTTCTTGATTGCTTATCGACGACGTCCATGTTAAAGTCCTACTGTGTATCTCCAATGATTTGTACGAAATAGTCAAATCAAGCAAGTCCAAGACTTGCATATGGTGTGCTTTTAAAAGAGTTTCAAAAGATGAAAGCATCACGACTCTAGTTGATTATGACAATTCTGTTTTATCTGTATGCTTCCAGAATAGTTGAGGAAATGTGACCCGTGAATGCTGCCAGCCTTTGGATCCATACTCTTTCCAAATAAAAATACATAAATTACTTGCAGAAGTCTTTGATAGGGTTATTATGAGGCTAGAACGGAGCTGTTGCATACTCTAGTCCTCCTCTTGTTGGATTTATGCACCAAGAAACAAGCGTCTCCAAATTCATGCTACGAATTTATGCATAAAGAGAGAAGAGATTTGGATAATGAAAAATGTAACCAGTCACCACTTGGCACTCCGTAAATACAAGTGGTCACAAATTGAACTTGAATTTATGACTATATTGCCTTCGTTCATCAATGATGTTGCAAAGTAAAAGATTATGAGGAGCAAAGAAACAAAAGAGAGGAAATATGCCACATATCTTCTCATTAGATTAGTTGATATAAATACAAAGGATTGTAACAAACTAAAAGCTTACATATGAGGATAAGTATATAATTTAAAATACAAATTTAAAATTTAAACAAACTAAAACAGTTACAACAATGCATAATAAGAAATTATAAGACTTCTTTAATATGTCCCCTCAAGGCATAATAAGGAATTATAAGACTTCTTTAATATGTCCCCTCAAGATTGGGTCGTGTGATGAGACCAATCTTGAATTTAAGTGAAAGAAATTGAGACTTAAAAAGAGGTTTTATAAGGGTGTCAGCAAGTTGATCATCATTTGAAACATGAGAGACATGTAAAATGTCATTTTGAACCTGCTCATGAATAAAATGAAAATCAATGGCAACATGCTTCATCCTTGAGTGAAAAACTAGGTTTGAGCACAAATTAGTTGTCCTGATATTGTTACAATAAATAACAGGTGTCTAAGGCAGTGCAATACTAAATTCTGTTAAGAGGGAACTTATCAAATTAAGCTCTGTAGTTGTGGCAGCTATTAGCCTATATTCACCCTCTGTAGAGGATCTAGCAATTATTCTTTGCTTCTTGAAACTCCATGAGATAGGGTTACAATCAATGTAAACAATATAGGAAGTCATCTTTGTTTCTAGCCCAGTTAGAATCGAAAAAGGCATGCAAAGAAAGAATGTTTGCATTAGTAAAGGCATGTAAAGAAAGTGGTGAGTCATGGTAAAGCTGAATGCCATCATTAAAGGAACCACATAAATAACACAAAAGACATTTCATAAAAATCCAATGTTCTGTAGTTGGTTGATGCATGTATTGAGAGAGCTTGTTGACCGCAAAGGCAATGTCTGGCCATGTGATTAATAAGTATTGTAAGCTGCCAATAATTACTTGATACTCTGGGATCTTTAAGAGGTGAACTTGAGTGCAATGTTATGAGAGGATTGGTAGGTAATGGAGTATGAACAGGTTTAGCATCCATCATTTTTGTACGAGTAAGAAGATCAACAATGTAACATCTTTGAGAGAGCAGTATACCGTGATCATTGGGAAAAACTTCCACACCGAGAAAGTAAGATAAGTTTCCCAGATCTTTTAGAGAAAATCAATGAGAAAACAGTTGTATAAACTTCTGCATTGTAGTATCATTATTACCAGTAATAATAATGCCATCCACATAAATCAGAAGGTAAAGCAAGTTACCTCCAGTGTTGAAAACAAGAATAGATGTATCGGTATGAGCATTGTGAAATCTTGAAGCAATAAGAAATTTGCGAAGTTCATGGTACCATGTTCGTGGAGCTTGTTTAAGCCCATAAATTGCTTTCTAAAGTTTACAAACATGAGTTGGATGATCTAAATCAATAAAACCCAGAGGTTGTAACATATAAATATTGTTCGAGAGATTACCTTATAAAAAAGCATTGTTTATATCCAGTTGTTGTAAGGACCAACCACGAGTTACTGCAAAGCTAAGAACTAAACGAACTGTAGTAGGTTTAACCACAGGACTAAAAGTATCATGATAGTCAACTCCTGATATTTGATGAAAGCCTTTCGCAACCAAGTGTGCTTTGTACCTATCAATAGAGCCATTAGAGTGACATTTAGTTCAAAAAATCCATTTACATCTAACTATAT